TACTTAACTTGCAAGTGTGGACATTATCACACATCCCTCAGCTGATACGCTGCTCCTTTCTAAGGCAAAAAAGGAAAGGAAAGGTGGGGGAGTTTTACAAACCATTAGAAAAGGCCATTTGGGCTAATCAGTTCCCTGTGTGAAAGATTTCAGTTTGAAATGGAATTAAAAATCCCTTGATCCATCTCCTAAATACAAATATCCCTTAGAGCCCCCAACTTAAGCAAGTCTATTTTTGCTTTTGGGGTCTTGCTTGCTGAATTGCACACCCTGCTCCAACAGCAATTCTTTACCCCAGAAACTGTAAATAGGCTCTTGTGTATGGACCTAATAAACATACTGCTTTTATTCATGTACATATACTGGTTTTTTTTGGGGGGGGGAGTTATACAAGAGCACCCACAACTAATAGGATGTCAGTTGTGCTAGGGCAGTTCAATGACATGTAATACACCCCTCTGGATTATAAATATTAAACATATTTACAACCTGCCTTTTGCTTTACTGAAATCATATAAAGCATCACAGATAAACAAGATGAGTTTTTAAAACACCTGATCAAAACCAAGTTGTAGTAGTAGCAGCAGCAGCAGATTTCTCCAGTAATTGGGTTGTGCAGAGACTGTATGATGATATTCACTAGCAACATATACCGTAAGTCCGTGTACCTTCCTGGAGGTCCCATGTACCTAGTCGCATTGTCCTCCGCAACATCTGTGTCCCTGAGATGACCACTATAGTAGTTTGATATCTTCCTTGTTCTTAAGATCATAGAAACCATTTGGATGTGGAGAAAGAGCAGACCATTTATGGTATAGCCTAGGAAACCCAGAGCAGCATTCATGGAGATGAGTTTTCACCCGATTATAATTTTGTGGGGGATGAGGAGACCCCACCCACTGTCTTGCAACTAGACTTGTTTGTCTATTCTTGGGTTCCCCAAGAACAGGCAACTTTCACATACTTCAGGTCAGACATTGTGGCCCTCAGAACATATAAGAGCACATAGAGGCGCCAACCCACAATCCCATTATGAAAGGAGAACCCCTACCAAAAAAAATGCTTTTAGATTTTATTTTAAAACTAGTAGGTGATACCCAGACTTTAAAAACTCGTCACTTTGGTGAGGTTTCAATTTGCACTTGAAATCCATGTACCGGTATTTTCAATGCCTCTTCCAGCAATCATCATGCCGGAGGAAAACCGCCTCTCTGGGGTGCTCCAGGAGGCGTTTCCACTCATCTTCTCCTTCTCACCAGTGGTGGGGAAAGCAAGATGCCACATCTTGTGCTTCTACTGCCTGAGGTGAGTGCTTCACCCTGCCTCATCAGTGGGCCAGCTCTGTTTGCAAAGGTAGCCTTGCACCCTATCTACAAACAGAGACAGGGAATTCCTGTGGCCTGGATGGGGGCTTCTCTATTTCATCACTTGTCCCTTGCATTGAACACCCTGCTTACAGACATATCCTTTCCCCAAATATAAGAAAGTGTGTACCTTTCCTTTTTTGATCATTCAAAATTCAACTCCTGAAGTAAACATATTCGATTCCAAACACATAATTTGATATTGTTATTTTAATGAAGCATTCCAGCTCCCCTGCATGTTAATCTATTTTCCACAACATACATTCAAGGGAATAAAAAGTTTTGCAATGGCTGCATGTTGACATGACTATCCAATGAGAGTGCTTTTGCTCAGCTCTTGTTTCTTTCAGTGGGGCTTCTTGCAAGATACCCTCTGTGAGGGCATTTGGCCCTCCTACATATTCTTGCAAAATAATTCTTCCACTTGGGGTCACTGAAAACTACGAGGATTATTGAGAATGCTGTTTCCATCTGCATTGCCTCTCTGCTTTTAATGAAACAATCTTCTGCCTGCCTCCTTCAAATTTATTGAAAGAACCCTTTTTCGTTGACAGAAATAGTCTTTAAAGCCAGCATTCAATATTTTTCTCTTCCTTTAATTAAATTTTTTAGTTTGCTCCTAGGGGGTTTATGGATCTCCAAATCCTTTTCCTTTGCCCAGTTGGCTGTTTTGTTACAAGCTCCCTATTTATTGCTTTGCTCATACAGCTCTTTACATCCCTCACCCCTTAAATTCAGGGTCCTTGGATGTGTGTTCAACGATACCAGCTTTAACAGGCTTCTGCACGTTCCTAAAATGCAGTGAAATTTTACAGCAACTGTCACTTTCCTAAAGAACCCCTGTTGAAATGAATATTGTGCTTTATTAAAAGTACCTCCTTCCCAAGGTGTTTGGTAATGCTAGAGAATGGAGAAGGGCACAGTTTTGTTATAGCACCCCTCAAGATAGAGAACTGAATATCTAGGGCTTAAGGTAGGATTAAAGTGCAGTTATCCAGAGTCATCATATTAACAACATACAAAATCAGAAGGGCTGGATCATCTTTAGCAAGGGTAGCCAACAAGGTTCCTTTCAGATATTGGTTGGGCTACAACTCCCATCATCCTTGACCATTGGCCATGCTGGTTGGGGCTGATAACAGTTGTGATCCAAAACATCCGAAGGGCACCATATTTGCTACTCTTCAGGGCTAACTCGGTAGCTACTTGCATAGCTGCCAGTGGTTGAATTTGCTGACAAAATGGCTGATGGTTGACGTGAGCTCCTTTCCTTTCTCACAACACAGGTCACAGGCACAATTCTTACTAGGTCTATGACAAAAGCTAATGGGTAAGGTGTCATAGCAGGCTACAATCAATTGATCACACTGAGTTCAGAATAGTATCTCCCGTGGAAACCCAGCTTTTGATTCAGATCATGAAATGATAAATTCCTGACACAATTACATAGAGGTACCCAGTAGCCTAACAAAAATGTCAGCTCCCTCCTCCCCAAATGAGCTGCTACCTTGGCTTAGTGCTCATAAATAGACTTGATTTGCGACATTTGATAAACACAACCCATCCCATTTCAACACATGTCAGGGACACTTTGGTTTGGAAAGGCACAAGCCATAGAACCAAAAACATCTCTTTGTTACCATACTACAACAGATGAGTCAACTAATGACCTCCCCAAAAAAGACTGGATTGCTAACAACTTATTGTGTGTTTTTTCAGAGAAGAAAAAATGTCAGCTAAATGACATTGCAACATGTTGAAACATGTTGGTCACATCAAATATTTTTATGCTGCTCTTTATTTGTTTCGCTCTTGTAATTTTAGACTCTTTGTTGTTTTTCCTGCAGCAGTCTACCCTGCTACCCCTCTGGAAATCATTTCATTCTTTTATGTTTTGTGAGCTGCTCAGATAACATGTTATTGGGTAGCCCATATAAATACAGTGAATAATTATTTTACAAATAACACCATTCTGAGGTTTGCAGGGGGCATTCTTTTTGGTACTGACCCTCTCTTCTTTCTGCCAATAAAAATGCAGCTGATTTCCACCCTCTAATGGCCATAGGAATACAATATCAGAGCATTATATTGAATTTTGATGGGTCTTCTTAAGCAGGAAACACATCTTAGCATTGACATTTTTGTTTGACAGAAGAGAATGCTACCATTTTCTATTATTCAGGTATTATTGCATGAGTTTCTCACAGTTTTGATCCAAAGCAAAGTGTAAACAGATAAATGAAAATATACTAATTGGGCTAGACTAATTGCGTACATCAAGGCAAAGCCTAGACCTTCCTCCTTGGTACTGAAACATCTATGTGCAGGAATTAATTATTTATTTTGCATGGAGGCGCGTTTCTGTCATGTGAGCCTCCACTTGTAAACTTAAGTAGAAGAGTTCAGTTACTATTTGCCCACCTTGCTTGAAAATTAGGCTGGGACGTATGAAATCTTCTCCAGCAAGGGGATTTTACTGGAACTAAAACACCACATGGGTTCTAGGAGGCAGGAGGGGCTGAGTTGCCAAGATAGGCCAAGTGAAAAGAGTCAGGGAAGCCAAGATCCAAATCAGCCCATTATAGGAAGACAAGTAGGCCCTCCTGATCTGCATCTATACATCCCATGACTCCCTGGAAACAGTGGTTGGGGACAGAGGGGAGAAAAGCATGATGTGGTGCCACCGTGGGACCATTTCCCATCTCCACCGAAAGTAAAAGTAAGTTGGGGAAGAGAAACACGCTGAGGTTGTGTAACATAGCTTGTGTACATACTCCTTTTTACTCCGCATTCAGTGCACTCCTACCGATGGTTTGGGGAGCAGTGTACACACAACATTAGTCACAAACCATGTCTATCCTGTAGATTCTTAGGAGAAGCTGTGTTTTCTCCCAAGCCAGCTTCAATCCAAAAGAACAACCTGGCTGCATTTTAAGTAAGTTTCTCCACTTACCATGTAGTTTGGCCTCAATGGGCAGGAAGTCCAGAGGTTGGAAGGGGGAGGGGCAAAAGAGACTTTAAATCAGCAATGGCCTTTGTAGAAAATCAATAACAATCTTTTATTTTAAAAAATCAGCAACGGCCTGAGATATAGGAACCTAAGGGAAGACAAGGTAGAAAACACATAGGCCTGGAGAAGTAATCTGGGCAAACGCCACAGATTTAACTGTACTGTGTCACTTTCATGGGGACTGGTGGTCAAGAGGATATCACAGGAAATTCTTAGCACGTGTCATGACCCTGGAGTTCCTGCAATGATGAAGACACAATTTCTGAGGCTGCAGAGTCACAAGCTGAGAGGCGAGACCAGGTTCAGGGCTCTGAAGTTGCTGCTAGAGATCAGAAGACCAGTGAGCCTGGGGACAGAACAGCCTACAGAACAGCCTCCTGTAGCACCAGGACCCTCAAAGCTACCCTCCTCTGAGGAACCAAATGTCTCCCACCACACCTCAGTGGTCCAGCACTGCAGGGATTGCACGGGGCATGAGGCTACAGTCTCTATCTTCAGGCAAGAGGGTTGGCCCTTTAAGTTCTCCACAAGGGAGTTGAGTCTGGGAGAGGGAGTTTATGGACAGAGGATTAAAAGGACACAGTTGGCTTTTGATCTTTGTCAAAAGCTCCAGGCTGGAGTTGGCTGTCCCCCTGCTGCTCTCAGCTGGTTACAGGGTGGTGCTGATAATGCCAAGGTTGCAGGTTTGATCCCGCATGGGACAGCTGTGTATTCCTGCATTGCAGGGGGTTGGACTAGATGATCCTCGGGGTCCCTTACAACTCTACAGTTCTATGATTCTATGAAAGCGTACATTAGTAGCCCTTACTATTCATGAGGCATGCTCGCAATGACACCTCTCCTTCAGCTCATTTATTTCTTGACATGTTAGCTGGAGAGACACTAAAGTTGATCTGTGAAGTAGATCCAGATGCAGGCTGTGTAGAAGACATGACTACACTTGCAAACGACCTGTCACAACACATTTAGGAACTTGTTACGGTGCTCAGCACTTTTTCTTTCAGCCAGGAAATCATAGCTCAGCTTGATCAGCCTTTGTAATCTTATTCCCACACAGCTCACAGCCCCCTTGGTGTCACCATCCATCGGTTCTGTCTCTTCTGATATTCCAAAAGGTTAGAAAGGAGCAAGGCAGTCTAAATAAGGCAAGAGACCATCGTGTATTATGAATATGGACCCAGTGAGGCAAACGCAATTGCAGCAGGCAGTGTTAGAAACTGAGAGTAACTTCTGGCTATACTTTTTGTGGAAAAAAACTGATCATGCAAGCAGCTGACATATGAGCAGTGCAATGTTAGAACAGCTAGTACACAAGATTGCCCCCTTCTCTGCTGTGAGCTGGAAAAAAATCACAGTTTGCAATGATTCTTCATGGAAGTGGAGCCACAATCTTGTGTAAGTTTGCAGCTCCTGTGTTGCACTACTCATATGTAGGTGAAGGATATCCTTCTGTCCTATTTCCACAAGTGTGTGTAAAGGTAAAGGTAAAGGGACCCCTGACAGTTAAGTCAAGTCGTGAACGACTCTGGGGTTGTGGTGCTCATCTCACTTTACAGGCCGAGGGAGCCGGCATTTGTCCGCAGACAGTTTTTCCGTGCCATGTGGCCAGCATGACTGAGCCGCTTCTGGCACAATGGAACACCGACACCAGAGCAGAGCACGGAAACACCATTTTCCTTCCCGCCAGAGCGGAACCTATTAATCTACTTGCACTTTTTTTGGTGTGCTTTCAAACTGCTAGGTTGGCAGGAGCTGGGACCGAGCAACAGGCATGTAGAGAGGGAGGGCAAAGAGGTGCCCTGCTTCTGGTCTATTTCCCTTCACCAGTATTTTTTAAATGTGCAATACATGGTGTGCATAAATGCATTCCAGCAGGACTGGGTCTCTATTCTCTGTCTGGTCTATTCCCACATCTCCCGGTGGGGTGAGGCCCTGCCTGACTCCAACTGTAAAGACGGTTCCTGTTGTTTAAAGTGCCTAGAGATCATCGAGGTGGGGTGTTTTAAGGAATTGTTGATGGTGTCAAGATTTAGTTTCAGGGATGCACTATTTTTGCTGTTACCTGCATTATTTTCTTACATATTTTTCACTGTTGGGACTTAATTTTGAATTATCAGTGGATTGTTTAATATTCTACATTTATTAATATTAAATGTTTTCATTAGCCTGTTGTTTATGTAACTATTTAAATTCTGTTATGCCTTCTAATTACTGATAGTGAATTGTTAGTGAATTGTAAATAGGTTGTCTTATGTAAACTTTAGATGCTGTTGCCACTTTGACCATGGTTTACCATGGAAAAGCAGCACATATGTAATGACGATATAAGAGTGTTTAGCACAGGTGTATATGAGACCATATGTTCAAGTACATGTGTGTTTGTGTGTGTGTGTTGTTCATGGTCAGTGGACAGGGGATGTTACAGATCCATTCATTGGCATCCTCCCTATCACTGCAAATTACCACATTCCAACTTGTCCCCACTGATTACCCACAGTTAACTAATGGTGTTGGTTGTTGCTTTATACTAAGAGGATAGGAAAAACAGAAGACACGCTAGTTCTATGTTCATACAGCAACAGATAGCAGGAACAGCCAACAGAGGCTAACCGCAAAATAACACAAAGACCCGAGGAATAAGCAGCCACACACTGCACACTTCTGTCTGCACACTTTCCATCAATCCCTAAAACCAAGTCACTTGCCCTTCCTCTGAATTCAGTCTGTACTAGATAAATAAATCTGGGAAGCACCCTTATATCAACACCTCCGCAACAATTCTTACGCCTGGCCCCTGGCTCCTGATGTACATCTTCCTCCAACAATGGGGATTTTAAAAAGAAAATATGTGAAGATTCATCTTTCTCCCAGGCTTTCATGACTGTATGATTGATGGTCTCTGCATATTATTTCATTGGCTAATTGCTTATATAGCCCACCCTATTCGTTTTAAACTATTTTTAATATTGCATCTTTTAATTGCTACCAGCACACTGGGACCATTAGTTTTGGGAAGTTCAAGCCCTTCACCAATTCAGATTGAAGATGGCTGAATCATATGCCGTCATATAAGGTACCGGTAAGTGCACAGAAAGGAAGCAGTATGCAAGGAGGATGGCTTGGCAACTGCCCAGTGGACTTTGGATGCTGGAACCATCTGTGCTGTCCCTTTAACTCTGTTTTGGCTGGGATAATCAAACAGGCTTAAAGTCCTCCTAAATGCTGTGCTATGCTTATGCATTTAGGTAGCCAGCTGCTATACTGGTTGTGATGATTCAAAAAATGGTTTTGAGGTATCTTTCTTTGTAAGTATATTACAAAGTATATTATCTTTTTAGCACATTCTAAATCACCCTGTGGTCTCTAGTTATTTTTTAATAAATGAAATAAATAATAAATAGTGCAACCAGAGAAACACAGAGCCTATAGAAGCAGGCATTCTTCCACTGCACCAATTGATAGCAGTGTGTAAATGCATCACAAAAGTTACTGCTGAAGACCCGTGTGTGAAAAAGGAAGTGCTACTCCTGATGTCCAGTATTCCTGTATTGTTCTTAAGAAGTGGCTTCAGATTAAACAAGCGGGTATTTTTGTGCTTCTGTAGCAACAGCCTGCTAGTTCACCCAAACACTTCCCAGGGTTATTTGGAGACCTCTGCACATTTAACAAGGTTTGTGAACCTTCACAATACTGCATAATTTATCCTATAAATCAGGGTACACGCAAGAAATATCTGCTATGTCAACAATTCTGCAGTCAACAGGCTCTAATAAATTGGAACTTGGAACCCTAGTTTTACTCAAAGATTTGTTTGGACATACACAAGGTTATCTGGTCAGCTATTTCTTAGCATGTTAGTTACAGACTCAGGTAAAGAGAGAGAGAGAATTAATCAATTAGATGATGTGAAGTTGTAATTACCTTCATACTCAGTGATCGGATACCAATTCTTGAAAAATATCGGCTATGCTGAGCATTCCTATGGAAAACACCAAATCCCCCTCTCACCATTTTCACCATTTTGCAAGTTGTCAAAATTCTTGTCATCTTGGGGAAAGTGGCAAAATAAAAATTATCTTCTTAAGGTGGATAGAGACTACCCACCATGTATATGGAGGCAAAGTTTTATGGGCGGTTGGTCTATTGACTCAGCTGGCAGCTTTTGCTTTGCATTTTCATTCATTCTTCCATTAAAAGGTTTCAGCTTGACTCCACCCTCTCTGCTCCTCCTTAGAGGAGTGTCTGACACAATTCTTGGAGAGATAAAAGGGTGTCCTGAAGATGCGTCCTAGGCCAAGCAGAAGCAACACTCCTTCTGCTGGAAAGCACCAGGGAACTGCAAGGGACTATCTGTCCCGCTGCCCTGGATTAGGCTAGCTGTGTAAATTTGTGAAATCAGAAGACAAGGAAGTTCCACTTAATGTTAGTCATGCTGATTAGAGACAATTTACAACTGGCACTTACTACAGACTGTAGATTATGTTAGATAGAAAACATTTTGCTATATTGGCTAGTTCCAAAGAGTCTGTCTGGCTACAGCATTACATAGCAAGGTCTACTTTTTCTTTTATTGTTTTACTAGAGTCCACATCCTTCAACAATGTGTGTTAAGTCAGCAAAGTAAGAGTGCATAGACAGAATCGTTAAGGCCTCTGCTCATTTGTGTCTTGAGCATGCTCATTTGTGTCTTGAGCATGCATTCTTTGGCTAAGAGAATTAAAATTGTATTGCTGGTGTATACCAAGAAGAACCTTTTCCAACATTTTTGCAAAGATCCCAGCTGCCCAATACATGATCTTGTGGAAGCTGACCAGTTGTCCACTGGTGGACCACTGTCTACTTTCTGCATACCTTTGTTCTGCTGTGATGAAGAAACAGAACCACATTGGTTCCCATTAATTTCTGTGGGACAATGTATACAACCTGCAATCTGGTACACAGCTGAATATACAAAAACTATGAAGATGCCCTATAGCAAATTAGACCATTAGTTCATCTAAGCCTCAGTACTGTCTACACTAACTGGCAGTGGCTCTGCAAGGTTTCTCCCAGCCCTACCTGGAGATGGCGAGGATTCAACCTGGAACCTTGGCATGCAAAGCAGATGCTCTACCACTGAAATATGGCCCTTCCCCATTGCCTCATTCCACAAACTGAGATCACCAATACCAACAGTTTCCCTGAGTGCATTCCTGTACTTTCTCAAACCTAGGTAGATATTTCTCTAGGTAAATATGCTTTAATTGGGCACATCAAATAAATCTGTGCAAATATACCAATTTTATATTATATTGGTATATCTGGATCCAGAGATAGACAAGCAGAACTCCACGCAGCGGGCCTTTTCTGCACCACCCTGAATATATTCCCTTGTGCTCCCCCCAAAAGCCTCTCTTTAAGGTTGAGGAATCCTCTGGTTTTCCCCTCCTGCAAGTCATTTGTAAATAAAAGTCATTAGAAATAAAGAGCACAGCAACGCAAAAGTGAAAACATCCTCATTAATAAAAGGTCATCACACAAACACACCCAGTATAATCAAGAGTACAAGCATCCGCATCCCAAACACTTTGGCAGCTTCTGCATGCAGTTAATATGGAGCCAGTCATAGATCTGTTAATGTTCTTATTTGAATTTGCCAATAAATAGGTAGGAATTTCAAAGTTTGACCAAGTAGATCTCCTCTTAAGAAACTAATGGAAAAAG